TCGGCTAGATAAAAAAATAAAAAAAATAAAAAATCCTAACACACTGGTTGAGAACTTTAAAGTTTCTTTTTCGGATCAATTCACAGAAGTAAAAGTTATTTTGAACTTAATCTTAGGTGTTCGTAAATTTGTCCAATCTATATATATCTATATTTAAATAAATGTTTGCCTGCCCATGCGTTCTTTATGGGACCAGAGACAGATCATCATAAACCATCCAACACAGAGTGATGAAATTCGGCACAATAATAGTTTGAAACACGAAAAACGACACTGTCGACATTGAACATTCTACTACCAACCGTTCGAGCAGGGATTTTTGATAATCACGAGTTGGCAGCGAGCTATAGCTTCGTGCCTAATGAGAGACTACAAAAAGCAGGTCTTGCTTAATTAGATAACGCAAAGCAGAACAATTAATTGTAAATAAATGAATAATTTGGATTATTTTATCTTTATTAATTTAGTTGGTATATTATTTTCAGCTTTGTGCATGATTTCATAGTGTTGTTCAATGATAATTTATAGATAATTTTCTTTTTTTATTCTCCCCGTACGAATAACAGTTCATCAATAGAACAAAATAAATTGCATTTTTGTTCTTTGTATTTACTCTTATCTCTGCAATAAAACTTTCTATATAAAGTTTAAACCATACTTTTATCTAAGTATTAATTAGCTCGAGTAGTAAATTTTCACGAAAGTATATTTGTCCTATAAAATATAAAATACAAGTTAAAATATTTTCTAAAATAATATTGAGCATTAATAAACATTGACGAGCAATAATGTGCATTTGTAAAGTTTTTATTTATTTCTTAAAACTATTTCCAGAAATTTGGGAACAAAAATAACCCAAATGTTCTTTTTATGAGGCATTAACATTTCCGAGCATTTATAAACATTGACGAGTAACAATGTACCTTTGTAAAGTTTTTATTTATTTTTTAAAACTATTTCCACAACTTTGGGAACAAAAATAACCCAAATGTTCTTTTTATGAGGCATTAACATTTCCGAGCATTTATAAACATTGACAAGTAACAATGTGCCTTTGTAAAGTTTTTATTTATTTTTTAAAACTATTTCCACAACTTTGGGATCAAAAATAACCCAAATGTTCTTTTTATGAGGCATTAACATTTCCGAGCATTTATAAACATTGACGAGTAACAATGTGCCTTTGTAAAGTTTTTATTTATTTTTTAAAACTATTTCCATAACTTTGGGAACAAAAATAACCCAAATGTTCTTTTTATAAAGCATTAAGATTGCCGAGCACTAATAAACATTGACGAGTAAAAATTGCCTTTTAAAAAATTTTTGTTAATTTTTAAAAACTATTTCCAAACCTTTGGGAACAGAAATAACCGAATGTTCTTTTTATAAAGTATTCGAATAATTTTATCCAATGTAAGTATGATATCAGTAAGAGCTTCGAAAATCAAAGTTTTCGATGCGCTTTATCAGATGACAGGATTCCTATTGTCCCATGTTTGTTTTAAAGCGGAAGTTTTTGAAGAATGGCTGAGGACTTCTCAGTCGATGCTTTCAAACCGGGAAGTTTTGCTGTCATGTGGTTGGATTTTAGTCATCTTCTAAAAGCATGTTTTCTTCCCTGCCTAACATGGATTAGGAAGGAGAAGGATGTTTTACAGACACGGTTTCAGAGGGAAGATGTGTATAATTTTTAGATGTGTATAATGTGTATTCATAGATGTGTATAATTTTTACAAATTTTTTTTTTAAATGTTCTTTTCTATTCTAAATAATGCAAAAATCATGTTTTACTTAAAACTCATTGTAATTTTTATGAACATAGCATTTTTAAGGACTTTTTAAAATTGCTATAACTTTATTTATATGCTTGTATTTTTTATCGGCTTGTAATAAAATAATGCATGAAACAATGGGAATTTATATTCATTACTTCATCTATTATTTCGTGCAATATTACATGGTTACCAACAGATATTCATATTTGTTGCCTCGTGAATGCATATTTTCAAGCTCTAAAGTTCGAACATTTTGAACTACAAAAATAAAAAATTATGTTCCTTAAGGGATTATATGCATATTTGTTATTATCGCATCAAAGTTCTGTTCCTACAAAAAATATTGTAATAGACTAATAGCTTCAAATACGTAAACGTTTTTTTTAATTGAGTATCAATTTTCTTTACAATTAATAATGTCCCTTCCCTTAATGTTATGGAAGAGAAAACGCAGCTGTAAGAAGGCTTATTTTTCACAATTGCACAAATGCAAAATTATCTAAATATAAATTGGTAAACCTCAAAAAGTAATATTTAAGAGTTCAGAAACGTGTAGTCGAATGGGAAAAAAACACATTCTTTTGCAAAAATCGCAAACACAATTTTTAAAAGTACTCCTCTACCTTATTCTCAAAAAATATTGGAGGGACATGAGCTTCCTCAAGTTGGAACTTACAAATTAATTAAACTTGCAAATTAATTTAATTTACAAATTAATTAAACTTACAAATTAATTATAATTACAAATTATAAAAAGTAAAAATTAACAAATTTAAAAAAATTTGTTTTAGAATAAATAACGGGGATAAATATATCTTAATAATTTCTAATGTTTAATAAAGGCCAATTACTTTTAAAATTCAAAACCATTTTGAACATAGGTGTAAATTAAATTCCCCAGCAAATTTATTGAAAATAGTTTGTAGTGAATAAAATAAAAGTACATTTCGAAAACAGTTTCTAGTCAATAAATTGAAAAAAAGTAATTGTAGTTAACTATATTTGTAACAAACTAGTTGAAGTAAACCACAAAAAGGATTTATTTTTTCCGATCACTGCCTATAAATTACACAAAATTTTGAAAGCTCAACTTGAAACTGATATTTAGTGCAATAAAGCCAGATATACGGAAATCTAGCTGCTCAAAATCATATTTATATTAAAAATCGGACAAGTCGAATTCAAATAAAATTCGATGAAACTACAGGATAAGAGAAAAAGCCAATCAAAAAGCAAAGAAAAGGTGAGAAAAAGGTTTCAAGGTAAAACAATGCGCAACGAGTTCAAAAACGTATCTTCTTTATATATTCCCCAGCTGTTTATAGAATAGTTCTCTCAACGGTTATGCTGAAATTCCTAAAACTGATGAAAATAGAAAGCATTGTAAAGAAATATTTGCATTAAGAAATTTTAAACAAATTGCAATAATACCATGATATTTATAATATAACAAAATCTCCTCCAATTCGAATCGAGTTGATATAAGAAATAAATTTCCTTAACTATGTAGATTCTTATATTATCGAAGACATATTTTTTCACATTATCCTTCGTACTTTTTCGTCAATTAAAGATACCGCTCAAAGTGCTTTTTGAAATTTTCATGGTACTAAACGAATATCTATTTTACTTTTATTTTATAACCATCGTTCAACAGCCGACCCGATTTTTGGAGTTTACGTCTACTGATGTTCAACTCCGCAGCCTTGTAATTTTGAAACCAACCCAGAAGACAAGGGAATTCCTGGATCGAGTATTGGGAGAAATTTGCCTTCATGCTTTGATGGAACTAACCCGTATTTGCGTTGGATGGAGAGGAAAACCACGAAAATCTTTCACAGTAAGCCTGACGGCAAGGGGACTCTACCCGTGATCCGTCTACCACTCAGGACATTTTATGTCAGCATTGTGGTCGGTTCGAGTTGGATGCGGAATTCATATCGACCAGCCATCGCCAGGATTCGAACCTGGTTCACTTCATTGAAAGTCGAACGCTCTATCACATTGAGTCATCACGGCTCAAAGAAAACGAACATCTATTAATGGTATTAGAAATATTATACTATTTTTTTATTTCTGTCAATTTAAATACACTAGTAACCATTATATTTAGCTATAGGTTTAAGCTCTAAAAATTTTAAAATATCTTTGAATATTTTAATTAAATATTTATAAATAGAATAATAGTTTTCAAAAATATAAATTAAAATTATTTTATTTAAAACTTTTTTATATATATTTTACTTTTGTAAACTTAGTGCAGGAAAAAATGAAAAAACATTTTATTCTACATTTTATCTTAAAAAAACTTCAAATTTAGCACATTTTTAGGCATTTTGTCCCCAACCTGACATAAACTTGTAAAGTTCAGATATTTTAGGTCTTTAAAAATTATTTTGATATTTGTTCATATTTTTCCTTCGGTGAAGTTCTATGCTAACACTCTTCCTTGTTCAAGATACTTTATCCAAATCCAAACTTTATATTTTAATCAAAATAACGCCTAATCTGCAATAACCTGTATAAATCTGCTTTATGATTTTTTATCGACTTATTTTTATTTCAAATAATTTAAATGTTAGAAATACTCATATTCATTTAGAATGTTAAGCTTTGGCTAAACCAAATTATTTTTTATATCAAAAATAATTTATCAAAAGAATAATAACATCATAAAAAAATTATGAAACAGATAAATGAGGAAAAAATTAATAATTAAGTAATAAGGTTTGCAATTATGATGAAAATTACAAACCTTATTACAAATAGGGAAAATTACAAATTGGAATTGAAATATCATAAATTAGATTATTATTTAAGGTATTTATTAGGCATAAACTTTTATAATCATATTATGCAAAATCAATAACAAATAAAGCGAAAAAAAATATTTCAATAACTTCGTCGTTTATAAATATTCAATAAAAAAATAATAAAAATGATAAATCTAAAAATAAAACCTAAATTTTACTTTGCTATGAAACATCTTAACCGGAACTTAAAATTACAATCAAAAGGCTAAATATTTTACAATCCAGAAAATTTATTCATGTTTTAAAGCTAATTTTATTAAATTGATAAAGCATCTTTGATTTTTTCTACAATTAAAAATTCACTGCTAATGTTTTTTTTTTTTTCCAAACTTTAAAGAGAATTTTCTTCTCCAGATGGATATATCGAAAAAATGGAACTTTCAACTAATCAGTTCCAAATTCATCAAAAAGAAAAGAAAAAAAATATAAAATATCGTTTTGTCATATAAAATATCGTTTGAAAAAAAAGATGCCGAGGAGATTTTCATTCAAATTATGACTCATCGGCTGCAATCGTCCGAACAACATTTTAACACCTTTATCGTTTGCCGTAGGGAATTCCTCAAGGAAAGAGGAAGTTTAGCAGGGAAAAATAAATGAACGAGGATCCAATCCTTGAGTGGCAGTTCTCTTATCAGCGATATTCATAAGCATCAACTGCCGCGTATTCGCAATCAAATGATCGCTCTCTTTCGAATTTCTATTCATTCTCTGAAAAATACAGGTAATTGAAATATGAATTTTTAATTAAACTTTTTTGAAAGTGAATAATGAAATGTTATTGTTACATAACTTTGGCAATTTTTAAGTTGTTTAACATCTATTTATTTTATGTCATGCATGTTTTTATTAATTCTTTTTTAAATTAAACGTTTACTATTTAATGTGTACAAAGAAAATTTATTTGCAGTCTGCATAGAGTGTATATTATTTACAGTATTTTTTTTTAACATGAAAGAATTATTCTAACATTATTTTGAACTATAAATATTTTGATTTGCATTGGTAATTATGTTTTTTACATAATTGCGATTATGTTTATAATAATGAATGTAAAAAACTTTCGTTTCACTTGTTTTTTTTAATACTTATCTTCGTTTTTTAGTTTATATATTTTGTTTACTACAATTGTTTGCCTTTTAACTTTTGATTTGAAGAGTTACGTAATTTTGGTTTATTATTTCGGTTAATTATAATAACGTTATTTTAAACTATAAATATTTTGATTTTTTTAAAATTTGTATCTGTGACTATATTTTTTTCGTTATTATGATTATGTTTATGATAATGCATGTAAAAAACTTTCGATTCACGTGTTGTTGTTTTTTTAAGTTCATATATTTTGCTTACTACAATTATCTCCCTTTTAACTTTGGATTTGAAGAGTTACGTAATCTTGGTTTTAATTTCTTGAATTAAAATAAACTTCTATTTACTTATTATCTATTCTTTACGAGCCTTTAAGTTATATGTATAATAATTTTACCAACTTAGCTTTTGATTTTAATTCCATATTTCTATTTATTCATATTTGATATACTAAATATACTGAAGTATATATATATATGGCATACAGTATATTTAGTTCGATATACTAAAGATATTGAATATTTGATATACTAATATCGTGATTATTTATGATATAAATTTTAAAGTGTAATTTATGATAGTAAAATTAAAGTTGTGATTATTTACGGTGATAAAATATAGAACTGTATAAATGTTTGTAAATATTCTCCTTTTGAGAAATTTTAACATTTTTACTTTATGAAATTACGAATTTCATTTACAGGACGTTTTTCTCCTGTGCAGTTTTAGAGTTAGCTGAATAAAAACAATTTAAATGCTAAAATTAAATTATGTTATTTAAACTAAACTCTTTTATAAATTTTTCTTCGCAATTAAGGCATAACTAAAGAAGTTTATTACTATTTTAAAATCTATGAAAACTGATATTCGATGCAGCTAATTTAATGTTTTATGTTCTGAAGGAAGAATTATTTCCTCTCTTTTTCATCCCCGCATCAAGAGGGAATTCCCCTAATCTTTCATCCCATCCTGAGGACAAACAGCTTTCTTCTTTTTTCTTCCTCTATTGTAAGCAGTCATTCTCCTCGACAAGTTGCAACAGGTTTATCGGCTACCAGGGAATTACGCCAAATATATAAAGAATCCTCCTTTGATCATAAGCTCAGTCTTCTTTTAATATCGAATTGCAATATATTTAAAACAATTTAAGCTGATACATTTTTACTTACTAACGCAAGCAGTAGTTATTGTCGTCGGATCAATTAGACTTTGTTTTTGTTTTCTTTTAAATTAGGTATGTTTATTTGATTTCTTAAAAGACTTATTTTGTTTAATCCTTTTTGATAGTTTTTAGTAAATTTGGTGACATTTAAATTATTAAATTATCAAAGTAAAGATATCCTTATTATCATTAACTAGATTATCTTACGTTAACAAATTTGAGTATTTAATTACAATTTATACTTTCAGAAATTATTCATTGAATTATATTTAATTATGTCATGTAATTAAATTAAAAATAATTACGAAATTAAGAAAGCCATTAAGACATTTAATCTACATTTAGTAAAAATTTGTATTTTTGGAATTAACTTATTTAATTATTTTTTAATGATAATTGTGATATATTAATTCAATTATTTGTCTATATTCGTAAATTCTTCTTCTTTCAATCTAATTTTTTTTAATTATTGAAAAGTGTACGAAAATGAATTATTTTATTTTTAAACTATTCAGTGCAATTGTTTTACTACATTCGTACTATATTCCTTTCTTTATATTTTCGAAAATGTATGAAAAGGAATTATTTCATTTTTAAACTATTTTTGATTAAAAAATCATCTAATACTAATCGGTTTTCTTATATCACTTAACTAGTATTCATGTCAGCAATTGAGTTTCAAAATTTTTTATTTTATTATTTAATAAAATTAAATTTTTATTAAAAATTAAGTTTTATTGAAACTTAAATTTTATTAAAAATTAAATCACTTAAAAAAAATTTTGAACTGCATATAGTATTTAGGCTTCTTGTAATTATTTTATTTTTTATTTTTAAACTTAATCATTTTATGCTAATGCAATTGTTTTTACTTTACATTTGAGTTTCATTCTTTTCTCTGAATCTTAACTTTTTTTTATTTCTTAAAAAATGCTTGAAAATGAGTTATTTTATTTTCAAACTATTTCTGATTAAAAATGATATTATAGTGAGAAATATCATTTTACAATATTCATATATTACACAATATAGCAATTAATATTTTCTGAATTTTTATTATTTATATAACATTTTCCTAATAATTATTAAGAATGGGATGCATTATTGATTAAATTATTTAATTATAAATAAACTAGTTTATTTATTTGTTTATTTACTTTAATATCGGCTGTATTGTATATTTCGATTTCCCTCCTTCAATTTCCTGCATAAAACTGCTTATATTTTTATTATTTAATAATTTTTTTTCCCTCATCACTACTAGCTATTAGGTACAAGTATATCTTGCTTTTTATGTTATGAATCATATTATACATTCTGTTATCTTTTAAAATCCATTAAAAATATTTTATTTCAAGTAAGACTGTATAGCTGCTTATTTAGATGTTTATACATTACATAATTATTTGCATTTCCTAATGGAAATACGATTTTATGTGACTTCTATTTTTTGCATAATATTTGGATAAGTTGTTGTAGATAAAAAAAAAGATTCTAATCAATCCTTGATTACATATTTTTAAAACTTGTATTACTATTTTAGTGAAGTATTTAAATATTATGAAATTAAACTGTCATTAATATTTCTATCTAAGGGCAAAAATTAATTTTAGCCGACACTTAAAAGTTATTGCGCAGTTTTTATTTATTTAATTATTTATTATTTATCTTATTTTTATTTTGTAATAAAATTTTTTGTAATTTGGATACTAAATATTTTTATATTATATTATTAGCAGTTCGTATTAATATTAATAAAAAAACTTTCTGCTTAAGAATAAAATTACAATTAAAAAAGACATTTTTATTGAAATAAATTTGAAAATTCTATATATCAACATGTTTGAATTCTAATTATTAATTAATAATATGTTGAATATTCTATAAAATATAAAGGAATTCTTAATTTCAAAACAAATTAAAAAAAATTTTTTTTTGAAAAAAGCGTTTTTTTAAAATTCTAATTATTGAATGAAAAATGCTATAAATATTAGCAAATGCATTAAATTAAGAGTTTTAAATCTTAACAAATTCTTATGAATAAATCTTTAACATGAAAGATTATTTAAAAGATAAATGTATGCAACTCAAACATTTATCTGTTACTTCCCTCTAATATAAATAGTCTTATTAAATAATTAGTCTCATATCTTAACTTAAAACTTAGCAAGTTTTATTAATTAATGATGTTAATGTTGAAAACCTTTGAAACTGTCGTACAGCTCCTTATGTGTATTTTTTTTTTTTATTGTTAGAATGTTTTCTCCAGAATGGATGATGATGATATGTTTAATAAACCATTAGATATGAGTGTCTTACAGATGCTAACATATCTAATAAGTTTGAAAAAAAACATTAGTTTTAATATTTGAAATATTTACCATTGATAAATGAAAACCATCTTTTTAAGATTTCACTAATTATTCTTATCCAATGAAATCTGTGTACCAATATCCCATAAATATGTGCTTTAGAATTAAAGCAAATATAAAAGTACTAACAAATAAAGATTTCTAGGAGCAATAATTTAAAAGTTATTATTAAGTATTCAGAATATAAAGTATAAAGAGGTTAAATATAAAGATCTGTATAAAGAAGTTAAATTTAATAACTTTTATGAGTTAAAAGTATATCGTACGTACAATTTACTCGTACGTATAATATATTAGGTTTTATTTAAACTACATAGAATTAATATAGTAGATCTTATATTTATTGCTACAATATTATACCATAAATGCCGTAGTTTCATTATTTTCCTTGATACGTTAGTCTTAAAGAAATGTTTTTTAACATATTATGAGCATCACTTAAGTGTAAATAAATTAATTTTGTGCAAAAGGTAAAAACTTTATATAATCCAAAATAATTTTAGGTTGAATTTTTAATTTTTTCTTAACTCCTTATTTTATTATGCGTATCGATGCTACAAACATTATGTTTCTGAAATAAATTATTTTCTGAGCTGCTATTAAATCAAAAATTTTGCGTTTGAAAAAACTGCAGGTATTTAAGTATTTAAATAACTTTAGTAGATTTTAAATAGTTTTGTTATGTGCCTTAAAAATAAACTAATTCTAATTTGGCAATACAATAAATGCTATTACGCTCAAAGTTTTCTGAAAAAATCCAAAATAATTTTTAAATGCATATGAAACATTGCTTCTAACTAAGCAATGAATAACTAAACATAAAATTAATATTGCATAAATAACAAATATGTTTGTATTTTTTTACTATTATTGTTATTGTATAAATTACATTATGTACAAATGTAATTTGTGGAGTTAAGCGCTTATCTTTCTAAATCCACTAGGCCTCTTTTGAAATCGAACGTGTCCCGCAGAGAAAACACTTAGAAAAAGAAATGTACTTCAGCAATCACTTTTAGTTCGTTAATTCTGTAAAACACGATTTATCCTTATTTGGGTGCTTATTTCTCGCCGATTGGAGAACTTAATATACAAACTAGT